ATCTGGAAAGATGATTTTTCTGTCTTTGAATCCGCATCGTAGCTATTTGAACTCGGTTATGGCAGTCGTTGATGCATAGAAAAACTTGTTATGTTTGCGGAACCTAAACAAGGTCAATCGATAGATCTTTATGAGTAGATCAAAGTTGTCCATGGGCTAAAATATGTCAGAGTGCGATCATTGAGTTATAGGTCATCAAAGTTCAGAACTTCGGTCGCTCTAATTCTTTTGCAACGTTTACTAATGTACAAATTAAAATGTTGTTCCATTGTCTTGTGCTACAAGGGAGTCCAGTCCTGATACGTAGTAACTATCGGTCGCTAGGTGCCATACTCTCCTGGTGGCAATCAAACGAAAACTTATGGCAGATTGACGTTTTTGACTTTTAAAATTTAATTTTCCTAAACTTTACCTTAATCCAGGGTCCAGGCTCATCCGTATCTTTACATTTTCCTTTGTGTCGAGATATGCACGAATGTTGACAGACCGACTGAGCTCTCTAGCATCCATGCAGCATGGGTGAAAATGTTGTTAGTAGCAAATGAGCAATAGTAACAATTTCAGGCCTACTGCTTACAAATTTGATTTTTTTTAAGATTTCCAATTGTTCTAGGATGAGTGAAACCTACCATATTTTTTCCGCAGGAAGAGAAAAAATCATGCGTTAAAGGGTTAACAAACGTATCAAAAGAATTAGAGCAACCGAAGTTTTGAACTTTGATAACCCATATCTCAATGATCGCCATCTCTGACAGATTTGTGCTCATTGACAACTTTGATCTACTCATCAAGATCTATCGATTGACACTTGTTTTGGTTTGTAACGCGGGGGGCAGCGGTCCCATAGAATGTTGGCATCCTCCTTTGCTGTTTTCTTGCGTCGCTTCGACTTCCTAGCCTAATGAACTTGGTTGTGGCAGTCTGTGATGCGTAAAAAATATTCACTCCATGTCCGTGGAAATAAAGTCTGCCTCAAATTATTATCATGCATAGGGTTTTGGCTCTAATTCCTTTAATCCTTAAGCAATTCGGTTCACATTTGAAACAAAGCATATACAGACTACACCTAAAGATTGTACAATGCTTGGACTGAATCGCTCAACCGGAACCGGAAATATATTAAAGTGACACCTCAAAAAGTGTTTCAATATAATATCACGCCCTGCTGCTGCCCCAGAAATGTGACTAATACTTCGTTTTGCCCCGTCCTTTCGAGATGAGATCGTACACACGGTCTCTCATGGATCCGATGAGGGTCTTGAGACGATCGACGCTCACATCCTCCCAGACCTCGAAAACCGCGTCAAGGAGTTCGGCGACAGTTGCGAACTGGCAGCCGTTCGCATAAACGGAGCGGACGAGGTTTCCCCAAAGGTTCTCCATGAGGTTCAAATCGGGGCTAAGAGCGGGCCATTCAAGAAGGGTCACTCCTTTTTCTGAAAGGAAGGAAGGGAAAAGAAACCATCAGTGACCTGCCGCTACTCTCAGCGAGTCTCCGGTCTGGATCTGAGAGCAGTTCTAGAGAGAGTCTCCGGCGGCGGGTCTCTGATGGTTTGGGGAGCCTTCGGATACGGCGGGAAAACTGACCTCGTGATCATCAACGGTCGCAACAACTCGAATAAGTACCAGGAACTCGTAGGACCTCAGTTGAAAGCGTTTGGGGAGCGGATCGGAGGCGAAAACTGGATCTTCCAACAAGACAATGCGAGGTTCCATGTCTCAAAGTCCAACCGGGGCTTCCTTTCAGAAAAAGGAGTGACCTTTCTTGAATGGCCCGCTCTTAGCCCCGATTTGAGCTTCATGGAGAACCTCTGGGGAAACCTCGCCCGTTCCGTTTATGCGAACGGTCGCAACTGTCGCCGAACTCCGTGACGCGGGTTTCGAGGCCTGGGAGGAAGATGGCGTCGATCGTCTCAAGACCCTCATCGGACCCATGAGAGACCGTGTGTACGATCTCATCTCGAAAGAACGGGGCAAAACGAAGTATTAGTCACATTTCTGGGGCAGCAGCAGGGCGTGATATTATATTGAAACACTTTTTGAGGTGTCACTTTCATATATTTCCGGTTCCGGTTGAGCGATTCAGTCCAAGCATTGTACAATCTTTAGGTGTAGTCTGTATATGCTTTGTTTCAAATGTGAACCGAATTGCTTAAGGATTAAAGGAATTAGAGCCAAAACCCTATGCATGATAATAATTCGAGAAAGACTTTAGTCGAAGGTGGCCATTTCTGGATTGGTTTGTAATATCTGGAAAGTTGCTTTTTCTGCCTTGTAATCGACATTGTAGCTCTGTGAACTCCGTTTTGGTTGTCCATGATGCATAGAAAAATATGACTCCATGTCCGCGGACATAGTCGCAGGTGGCGTTTGTTGGATTCGTTTGGAAAGTTGGCGTTTCTGACTTGGAATTGGAGTCGTAGTTATATGAACTCGGTTTTTGCAGTCTGTGATGCATAGAAAAGTATCACTTCATATCTGTGGGCATTATCGCAGGTGGTGTTTGCTGGATACAGTTGGAATGTTTGGAAATAAAGTTTTTTTCTGGCTTCGAATCGACATCATAGCGCTGTGAACTCGATTTTTTCAGTTGGTCCTGCATTGAAAAATAGATACTAGCGGAAACATTATAATGCTTTTTCCATTTCTAGAGAATGCTTTCAGTTTCTCATTTTTATTGCGTGGAATTGACTTTGTTTAGATATGAATTCCATTTTACGTTATTCCCTAGCACTGGCTCTGTGTTATACTTTCTTATATTTGGTGTCATAATGATGCATTTCTAAATTCAGTTGGAACCTTGTAATTTCACTTTTTTCTTCCGTGGAGTCAACATCGCATGGAGTTGAACTTTATTTTACGTTATTCTAATGCAATGGCTCGGTGTGATACTTGCTGATATTCGGCCTCATAATAATGCTTTTCTAATTAATTTGGATCCTCGTTCTCACGTTTTCCTGGGGTGGAATCTATATCACGTCAATATGAACTAGATATCATGATTTTAGCATGTATAGGCTCAGTCTGATACCAGCGGAAATTCGGCGTCATTATGATGCATTTTCCGATTCAATTGGAACGTCGTCGTTTCATTTTTTTGGAGTGGAGTCATTTCATCAATATGAACTCGAACCCGGTTTTATAGCGATGCTCGTCCCAGCTTCGTAGGATCCTTGCAGCTTCACGCTTCTCTGGCGTTTTATCGACATCGCGTCAATATGAACTGGATTTCGCGTTTTTACCATTTCATGATACTTGGTCTGATACTTTCTGATACTCGATGTCATAATAATGCGTTTTTCAATTCAGTTGGATCCTTTTGCAATTTCATGCTTTTTCTGCCGTAGAATCGACATCGCGTCGTTATCAACTTGAATTTACAGTATTCCCATGGACTGGCCCAGTGTGATACCTGCTGATACTTGTCATGCGGATGCTTACTTTCTATTGAGTTGGATTTCCTCAATTTCAGGTTTTTTTGGCGTCGAATAGACATAATGTCTATATGAACTAATTTCAATTTTTTTTTAGCATGCATAGGCTCAGTCTGATACCAGCGGAAACTCGGTATTATAATAATGCTTGTTCCAATTCAATAGAATACTTTCAGTTTCATGTTTTTCTTGCCGTGGAATCGACAGCATCGATATAAACTCGACTTAATGCTATTCTAATGCAATGGTTCGGTTTGATACTCTTCGTAATAATGCATTTCCCAATTCAGTTAGAACCTCGGAATTTCACGTTTGTCTTGCGTGGAGTCGACATTGCATTGACAAGAACTCGATTTCAGGTTATTCCCAACCACTGACGTAGCGTGATACTTGGTGATACTCTGAGTCAAAATGATGCATTTTCAAACCCAGTTGGAACCTCGCAATTCCACGTTTTCCTGGCGTGGAGTCGACATTGCATCAATATGAACTGGATTTCACGTTTTTAGCATGCACAGGCTAAAAACTTGTGTATTCATGGCTTCGAGTCGACATCGCATGGATTGGAACTAGATCTCATGTATTTATGATGCACTGGCTCAGTTTGATACCAGCGGGAACTAGGCGTCATAATAAAACTTTTCCCAATTCAGTTGCATCCTTGCAATTCGGTATTCTTCTGTCGTGGAATTAGCATTGCATTGATATGGACTCGAGTTTAAGATTTTACCATGCCCAGGCTTAGTCTGACGCATGGTGTCACAGTTATCCTATTTAGAATTGAGGCAATTTTCTCATTTCGGCCTTTTTTCTAGGGACGAATCGTAATCTAATCGAAATCAATTCCATTTCACGTTATTATGGTGCACTGGTTTAGTCTGAGACCTGCTGATACTTGGTGCTGTTGGCTATACTACTACCCCAGTAGCACACCCACGTTGGACCATCGTCGGGTCTATTTTGGAATTCCACATTTGCGATGTGTGCCCAACGTTGGTCCCTCGTAGGCTTGTCCTGCGGCCCCACGTTGGGTCAACGTCAAAAGCTGATTGCAGCATGGCATTCATGCGATTTATAGAGGTTTCGAGTGAGACAAATTTGTGATCGTTCTCCCCATGGGCAGTCCTCTGCGATGTGGGCCCACGTTCCCCCACTAGCAGCCAACGTGGGCCCCAACGTTCTGTGCTATCTGGGCTTAGCGGGATAAGAGCCACTTGAGTTATGAATGAAATCACACCGGGGCTCAAATCCCGTGCGGAAAGTGAAGGTCTCAAAAGATAACCATCGAAGGAAATACTACTCCCTGGAGTACTTCCAGCCAGACCGCGAGTAACTCGGTGGCAAGGTCCCCGGTAGGGGAGCTGAACAATAATGTACAATTATAGAATGTTTCATTGAAGGCAAAATTTCCAGATCCGAAGTGTCCTGACCACAAATAACATCCTGCGATAAATGACATGCGTTCTCATTTAAATCTTTAATAATACCATTTTTAGCCATGATGTCAGGAAAATGGAAACTACTGTTCAGGAGTCTGTAACTACTCAGTAACACACATTTTATTTCTCTTAATTTTATTCTATACTAAATACAAGACAATACAGCATCAGATCAAAAGAACATAGCTTAATCAACAATCAGACAGTTCTGCATATTCTTGGGCAATAAAGCCAACAAAAAAAAAAGCACCATACTCATGGTTGTAATAGCAAAATAGAAAAATGACTATAAGAACCAGGGATCATGGGATTTGAGAGTTGAGATTTTGCCATTGTCCTGGTGGCTTTAAGAGATGTTAAAATGAATTTGGAAATATCATCTTAACCTGATAGCCCATGACAATATCAACCCGTACTGCCTCATCGTTTTTGACAACTGAGAGGGTAATACATGTCAGTTTGGATGCTGACCATTGAAAAACCACCAACTTGTATTTTTTAGGAAGCATTCCATTCCACAAAAAAAATCCCTAGCAAATGAGAAGCAGCATGCAGGACAGACCCTGGTTCTTCCCTTGTTGCCCTAGTTGTAATTGCAGCACAAGTTGTCATGTATATACGTGTATATTGAATCAAAGGAGATGAAAAGAGCTTCCTGATGATATAGAGTTCACCATCATCATGACATGGAATTTTCTCAACACAATTAATGGGAAGAAGGGACTTATTTCACTCTCAAAGCTTATGGGAGGGCTCAGTTGCTTTTTTTTGGAATGGAATATTAGAAGAACCTTCCTGCGACAACTGCCCACTAGCTCCTACCTCTCATCTTCCAATCTCATCTGGAGGAAGATGCTAAGCTCAAATAGGCCTAGGCCTAGTTACATCAACAGAAAAATTGAAGTCTTTTTTGAAAAATAAACACACATGCACATTCTATACGCACAATACAAATCGCTGACATATAAATGCCATCAGTGGAAGTAGCAATCACACTGAAGACTGCATTTGTACTGAGTGAATTTCAGAGGAAGTCTCACTGGAGGCCACATGAAACGTGCAAAAAACGTACTCAAATGAAAGGTTAAATGCTCAGTATACAAATAAGTAGAGCTTCAAGGTTAGGAAGACTCATTTCCACAAGACTAAGAACAAGATTCTTTGGAAAGTAATAAGACACCAGTTGAGAGAAGAGGTCACAATAACAGTAATAATGGTACATTGTGCATCAATAGTTGCCTGACAACCATGACATCACACACTGAACCCCTGAAATAGCCCAAGGATATTCCTTGGACCCCCTGAGGTGAGATTAACACGATGCTCAGTCTTGCGTTCAACAACTGATGGGCCGATTCAATGAAAGTGTGTCTGCAACATCTATATGCATTTCCATATGCAATGGTCAAAGTAATGGAAGATACATCTGCAAGGTAATGACCTCATGCAACTTAGACCTGAGATAGGACCTGCTCATTAGGGTGGCATTGAACATATTGGTACATGCAGAATAAACCAGCTCTCAAGTTCTCTCCAGGATAAAGCTCCTTGCCTGAACCCTGATAAATTTATTATGAGTAAGGTTCCTGGTTCAAACTTGATGCACTGAAAAGCATAAGGATGAGATCCTGAAGAATGTCTTGAATGCTCCATAGGCCTAAAGGTACTTTTTCAACCATACATAATGAGGAAGTCATGCATCCAATATGACAGAAAGAAACTATTCAGATAACAGTAAAGCATAAGAAACCATGATATTGAAATCACTATTAAAAGATAGTCATCCAATTATGCTTTTCTTGCATGTGGGATATAACTTCATCTAGAGTGGCTAGATGGACAGAGCACTGTGTGCATTGTGTAGGTACAGAAGTGACATACTTCTGCTGGTGATTTCTGATGGCATGCAATGATGGTAATGTTATTCCACACCTGTTGCACCGGTATCTACAGCCAGACATTCGATTGGCAGAAGTTAACGTTGGAATTCCATTTGGATACTGAATTAATGACATATTTCGAGGGGGCAAGGCATGGGCACGAGCAGAAATGAGAGCAGGTGGAGTAGTAGCATATGAAGCTGTAGAGACTGGCTGGGAGCTATGTGCTGTACTAGAAGTTGGAGATTGCTGTGGTGTTGAAGCTTGATAGGACCTGGCTGGGGAAAGCAGAGAGGGTGGAGTGAGAGTGGGTTGATTTCCAGGACCCTGAGAGTGATACATACCAAGGGGGGCTATCTGCCGAGGAGGGTAAGTGGCACGTGGAACCAATGTTGGGAAGGATCCAAATGGAGAGGAGTGGGGAGCTGGAGGACGGTAATGTCCTGGATGAGACACTTGTTGGAATGCACTAGATACAGACAGGGTGGGAACCTGACCCCTGTATGAACTTGTGGAAGACGGTGGCTGCATTTGCCTCTGAGCTCCAACAATAACGGATGTCTTTGCTGCACTCATTGAAGGCTGCTGACCCAGGTAGACCATGCTAGAAGGGGGTTGTTGACCTGAGAGGGAGACAGAAGGGGGCTGCTGACCTGGGTGGGAGATGTAAGGGGGCTGTTGACCTGGATGGGAGACATAAGGGGGCTGTTGACCTGGGAGGGAGATGCTTGAAGAGGGCTGCTGACCCCGGAGATAAAGGCTGGAAGTTTCTTTCAGTTGTTGAGTGTTCAATGCTGTAGACAATGTTGACTGTCTGGGCTGTTGCAGGAGGCGTGCATGTTGCTCCTGTTGCTGTGCAATGTGTTGCTGCTGTTGAACATACTGCATATGCATAAGTGCCATGGGCTGCTGCTGTGCAGGAGCCTGACCATGGACAGCAGCTCGTGCTCTTGGCATCATCTGTCGCATTGGAGGGATTGAAACTCCACCTGGTACCAATGGAGGTGGTGCTCTTGGGATTCCCTGCGACTGCTGCCAATGCTGAGGTCTTTGCTGAGGTGGTTGTGGAATGGTTGGAACCAAGGAACCACTGCTTGATGAACTGTCAACCATAGATATGGCTATATTGTCTGGTAAGCGCTCAAGAACTGGTCTACGGGTGATGGAAGATCTTGACACCAGTGCAGGGATTTCTGGCTTTTGAATTGCTTCAACCAATTGCTGAGCCTTCTGGCCTTTGTAACACTGGACGGAAAGATTTGTCTTTGGTGCCAATGGAATAGCTGGTGGGGGTTCAAACACAAACAATCGAGTTGGAGAATCACGCTTCACGTGTTCGGCTCTGGCTGGAGGAGGGGATGATGAATCTGTCAAAATCAAATCACAGAAAAGTGATGTCATCCACTGAAACTACCATGCACTCAAAAAATAAACTTTTCTATATCTAAGAATGACTATCCATACAATGGATGGATCAGGACAATATAAATGCTTCAATGTCGGGTCATGGCATGTTTCAACAAAACCCCGTGTTTTCTATTGGCGAAATCAGCAATTGGTAAGCTATGCAAAGACAGTGGGAAAAAAAATAAAGCTCTGACAAGCAAATATCACTTTCCATCATATTCTCATCCCATCCTGTCAATACAGTACAGACATTCTACATTCTATTGAAGTTGAAAGTGAAAATTTTGAACTCTTGCTGCAGAATTTAACAAGTCTGGTATCCCTTGGGTGAGAATGAAAATGAGACAACTGCAGCAAAAGACTTTGAATAATCCACTATATATTAAATATGAAAAATGTTTTCTGTTTACATCCTTCTCAGTTATCTCGCTCACTTTCCATATTTTTCATCCATGCTCATCTGCAGCCTGTCATTAGAGGAAGAATTCATGTGAAGGGTTTCACATGTCTTCCAGGTGGTATTCATGAGCTGTGACATCATTGTGTGTGAAAAACCGGTAAGCGTAAGTTAATACTATTAGCCTAGATCTACTTCCTTTTGTTGCTTCTAGCACTATCCTTTGTTGGCTAGGTTAGACTTTATTTACCTATAGGGTAAAAGACCCAGTGATGGGCCTGTTAATGGCGGGTACTCAGTGATGGGCCACTTCGCAGGAAAATTCCAAAAACTAGGCATTTGTTCCATGAACACCTCTAAAGTGTCTATGTGCTTGAATACTGCTAGCATATGTCACAACGTAGGTAGGCTTGCTATGGAAGCTTAGCTATTGGAATTTTTATGTGCTGTGGCCCATCACTGGGGACCGGTCCATCACTGGGTCTTTTACCCTATATCTCAAGATATCTCCAAATACTTCATAGGCTAACATTATACATTTTCAAAGATTTCCCATGGGTTCAGGCCTACCCATGGTACAGGCTAGATCTGGGCCTATGAAAGGATTACTTTTTATGAGTGAAAGCACTTATTTGGTGGATACAGACCCATTCCTATATTTCTTGCATGACATACTTCCATTAATGTAAGAAAAATCAAAGTTTATTTCATTGAAACAATTTTTTTTCATCAAAATTGGTTAAAAATTTATTTTGAGCAAGAACTTGTCAAAAATTATAATATAGGTCACAATGTGATATAATAAAAAAGACTGCAATTCTCAAACAATGACTAAAATAAAATTTTGACTATTTTTGCTCTGAAAAATATACTATGAAAACATAATTTATGGTTTCCCAAACTGACAAAATTTTTTTTAAATTCTGGTAGGCTGACAAAAACATCATTGGTACCAATTCCATTACTGTCTCATATAACCTTCTCACAAAGGTGCCAATGTCCTATCCTATAATGCAATTTAGCTCATAAAAAGGGGTTGAAGGAAACTGACTGTGGATGTTTGGAACATCAGGAGAGGAGGGACTGGTTGGCTCTAGTTTGAACTTCGTATCATCACCATCATCATCAGTCTCTTGCTCATCCTCATCATCGTATTCATAATCTGATTCAACCTCCATTTTTCCAGGATAGGGGAATTCAGTCTCTTCTCTTTCTCTTTCTTGTTCCTCTATGCTCCCAATTTCTTCCCTTTGGTGAAAATTACCTGTCAAGCAAAAATTATTGAAAGAAATATCACCTAAAGTATTACTTTTCACAAGAGAAGGAGAATATCCCTTGCACCCCAAGCGAACCAAATCTGCTGTCTCCAATTCCACTCAGCATTTATTGTTGCTTTACCACTCAAAATCTGAAAAATAAACTACTTTTCCTACTTTTTCCCCTAAAGCTATATAAAAGCCAAATTTCATCACAGAACTCTTCACAACTACTGAGAACAGCAAAACATATACCTCGAAAATCAACTTCACTACACATGGTAAATTTACCACTGATCATTTTAAGATAAACTTTTGTAGTCCTGATGTCAGTACCAGCCCTACTTCTATGGCAATTTTCATTTCTCTGTGCTTAACAACTTCTGTGGCAATTTTCATTACTCTGTGCTTAACAGTTTCTGACAAATTTTGAACATTCATTTATTCATCCATCTAGTGCATTTAATACTGACCTTTTTCAGCTAAATTCCGAGAAGATTCTCCATTCTTCCTCCCTGTGGTTTGGTTTTGTTCAGCTGGCTGAGAAACCTTTTGCACCTCAAGACTTCTCCCTTGTTGTGGTTCCTGCCCTATCTTCTCTTTCTGTATTTCCTGATCCTTCTTCTCAGCATCCACCACAGATCTTCCTGCATCACATGGAGATGTTGGATCTTGTTCACCATCAACTATGTTGCTGTTCTTATCCACTTCAACCTCACCTTTCCTGCTGTCTTGCTCTGTGCTTTCTACATGAACTTGATGGGTGTTTTCAGGTTCATTACCATCTTCTGGGTCATCACTTCTGAGGGATGAAATGGCTGCTTCTTGCTCTTCTTGGAATACACAGTTAGTGTCTTGAGGGAGCATTGCTTCACCTACACAGTGATTCTCTTCCTTGTCTCTCTCCAGAGTTGCCTGATGATGACTGTCATTCTCTTCCAGATGACTTTTGTGATGTGTATCCTTAAATTCAATAGTTGCATCAGTTGCTGGTAATTGATCATTATGATCTAACACCCCTTCAGTTCCATTTGTTTGGGCCTCCTTGTGACCACACTCTTCAGTCTGCTTTGACTGTGACAGGGTTTCTGTAGTACCACAATAGGGAGCTTCATCCTTGTCAACATGATTAATTTCAGGTCGTTCTCTAGCTAGCTTGAGAAGTGACTCTGGCTCCATTCCATAGGTGTCCACTGCCCCAAGGCTCTCATCAGATTCAAGCTCACTGCATTCCTCATAGCTGATACGAGGTTTCTTTCTTTGCATTCGCTCTTTGGTACCTTTCTGGCGCTTCTTCCGCCTTTTTGTAGATATTGATGGCAGGGATGCCCAGATGTTCTTCTTGGCTTTCTTCTTGAGTTTCAATGGTTGATTCTCTCCTGCAGGTCGATTTTGGCGTCGGTTCCGGGCATTAGGTAAGAACTCCTCTTCATCTATCAAGAGGAAAAATAAAAATGAGAAAGGGTGATTGGAAATGCTCAATGCATTCCTTCCAGATGCACTAACCTGAACTGCTGCAAGAGGTGTCTGATTGGGGAAGATAATAGTCTGAGTCACTGTTTAAGATCTCATCCATGTCATCTTCATCATAAAAGTCCTCATTCATTGGTGATTGCTGAAGTCCAAAGTCTTTCAGGAGTTTCTTTGGATGCTAATAAAAAAAAAAAGGCCTCATCGTGATTTCATTCTTCCAGACAGAAAATACCAGAAGGCCAAAATACTAGCATTTATTCAAAATTTGAATTCCTTACTCAGACAGGATTACAGCTTTACTTAGATCTGATGAGAGTGAAATGATAACATAATCATATGCATGTGTAGGAACTCAGACCCATTTCCATGCTACTCACATTAATATCATGCACCTGCCGAAGGTGTGGAATGAGAAGGTCGAAGGGGAGGTGTTGCTGGCAGGCACAGCACATGTGTTGGACACTGTAATTTTGCTTCATATGTGTTTGCAGGGAGAAGAGACTGATGAACATACACTTGCAGATAGGGCACATGTGGAACTCAGTCTTCTCAATTACCACATTGAAATCTGTCAAGTCCCCTTCTTTTCTAATGCATGGAAAATAGCTGTCAGAGATTCCAGTCCCTATAGAGAGAATTTTAAATTCATCAAGCTGTCATTCCAGTACATATAACAACAACAAATTATGAGAAACAGAAACAGTCACTGGATGGTCGGTCATTAGCCATGCATTCACTAAAATGCCATGGTTTTTTTTAATAAGTGGCTTATTGGACCAAAAGTTCTTTCAAGCAGTAAACAGGCACATTCTCCTCATAACTTCCCCCCTATACATTTACAGACTTCTAAAACATGTTGCTGAAGCATTTTTTTGCTATAGTATTACATTCATTGGTATTGAAGCAGTTTCAACTTTTTGTCAAAACAAAGAAAATGCAGTTCCATATTGAACCTGAGTTTTTTTTTTTTACCTCTTAAGTAGGTATGATGGATATACTCATCACAGAGAAAACTCCCACAAACAGGTATGACAGATATTTCTGTTATAAATTATCCACCCCAATAACACTCTAATACAATAGAACAATATGATTGTTGACTAAAAAATCATTCAAAACACAAAATCTGTCTACTTCATTAGGAAAAACTCCCCATTAGTGGTGAATCCATGAATTGAAAACTCCTCACTTGAGAGGATGATGCAAAAAATCTGGTTAAAAAAATTTCCAATTTCATTTCTTGTGACAAAAGAGTCTTTAGCATTTTTTAACAGCACAAGGGATCTACTCCTACTGATGGCATGTCAACTGCAGAAAAAGACCATACGGGCAAATTCAAATTGGCACAATTTTAAAGCTGGTACAACGAAACTGTTCCAGAAAGACACATGGTACCATAGTACCAATATTACAAGGTAAAAAAATTAATTAAACAATAATAAATTAACAATACAAGCAAACCACTGGATACAAATAAGTACAGCTTTTTGCCCTGGTAGTATAGGTAATAAATCTGGAAACATCATAATACCAACACTATAAGAATTTCTGTTTAACCAGCCCTGGCTCTAGCAATTCAAATGTGACAAGGCAGAAGAGCTATTGCAGCTTGGAAAAAACATGAGCCACTGGACTGGGGTGTGAAACATTTTTTATCATTGACTTAGTTTCTTTTCATTTGTATTAACTGCCATCATGCAGAATCATGTAAGAGCCCATGTGTATATCGCAAAAATTGTTATACAGTACTTGTTTCCACATTGATTTCTGTTGGAAAGTGAGCTTTGTAAGGATACATAGAACAATTACATGGTCACACTTATTATAATATGAACATAAACCTTTTGCATCAAGAGTGAAGAGAAAGGATAAACAAATATGAGCCATTATTTGATGTGAATACCATTAAAGAGGAGACTGAAATTCCAGGTCCAATTCTAATAGCAGTTGAGTTTGAGGCAATTCCAATTCTAATTATTTGAAATAAGCAGCAAATCCAAGTTCCAAATCATTAGCAATATGTTATTCTCTTGCTGAAACATTACTGCTTGTGGGCCATGGCAGCACTGTCTGGCTGTTACCAGAGGAGTTTAATTTCTCTCTTGCATATTTTTGCTTGCATCCATTGCAGTCAAATTTACCCTTCAATTTAATTTCACTCCTGCTTCATTATCAAAGACTGAACTTTTTTTTATAGGCTCCTTCAATGTCAGGGTTCTTACCATTTCAGTCTCTTAAAATCATCCTGCCTGTATAAAGCTTCAATTAACTTTATCCTGGTCTAAAAGAAAAATACACTTTTCCCAGTAATTTTAGACTGCAAGTAAAAATTTTCATTTGCATATTAGTTTTCAACTCCAGGAACATGGAGAAGTTTGCCTGAAATTGGGAATTAGCCCTTAAAACCAAAATAAGATCAAATATATACCCTTCCCACCTGTGGCCTGTTTCATGGAATTTTCGAGTTCTACAAAAGTTACAAGTAATTACAAGGGTCATGTCATAGTTGTGTAAAGGGCTGGTGGGACCTGCTGGAAGAGTTAAACAAGAAGACATGACCCTTGCAAGTACCTGTAACTTGTAGAACTTGTAAATTCCATGAAACAGGCCCCTGGTGTCCAAGAGAGCAGATTTGGGGGTCTGCTATTTCATGAATATTCTGTCAGAGAACATAAAAAGAAAAGTTGAAAAAAGCAAAAAAAAAAACAAAAAAAAATAAAAATACATTCAAATATACCTAAGATTACTTCCAGAACAAATTGAAAATAAAAATTCATACTTTTTTGCAAAAACATTTACATGTTTATCCTGATCTTCCTTTAAATTTGATTTGGCATTACATATATTCAGAATGGTTGCCCAAGAGCATGCTATTTTCTTTCAGCTATGCCATTCTTTTGGGATCATTTTCAGCTATTGCAGAAATTGGAAATCCTATGGACTCTTCAGTAATATTGCACTTTTCTTATCGCCAAAATATGGAGTTGGCCAAAAAAGAGTAAGTTGCTATAAAATCCATATTTTTGAATGAATTGACTTGAAAATTTAAATGGATATTCTCTAATATGTTCTTGAAGAGCTGTTGAAGTTTCATCTACCTTTAGTCACCCACTCTTGAGTTATGAAAGATTTTGTCAAAATAGTCAAGACTAAGTGAAAGGACATGCAACTGCTGTTGCAAAGCACAAATACACATTTGCATGTGAATACCTGGAAATTTATGCACATGCATGACATTTTCAGATGGTGAAAAACACACATTTGACAATGTCCTTTTAAGTTTTCCCAATGATCTGTCCAGAGAAACTTTTTTTTTTTTTTTTAGCAGAATCAAATGTGGATTCATGCCTAGCAGCAATAATTGTATGCCTGTTCACTTGCAACTTAGACCATTTTGACAAAATCTGCCATAATTCAAGAGCATATGACCAAAGGAGCATGAACTTCAACAGTTCTTCAAGAACATATTAAACAATGTTAATTTACATTTTCAAGTCAATCCATTCAAAAATATCGATTTTATAACAAAATTAAAAGCAGTTTACTTTTTTTTTTTGGTCAACCCTGCAGATAAAATGAATTCTGCAAAAAAATCCTGAAAGTATATCAACATGGCCCAGGATTGAACAAGGACATACATGCTTGAAAAAAAAAATTAATTTCTCAAAACTAAAAAATTGCCATTCTCAGCATAGACTTGGCATACAATTTAGGGTTTGCCCATCAATACTCCTGAGTTACCTAATTTTACCTTTATGTTTCTGAGAGAGCTGAAAAATGACCAATTGATACAGCAATGATTTCAAACTTATTCCATTCCCAGCAACAATTCCTTCCTACATTTAAGGAGGAATACATATCCAGACTTTCCAATCCATTTTGGGCACTTTTACATAAGTTGTTCAAACATTCAATAGAGCACCAAAGGCCTCAACAGACAAACTTACATTCTGTTGATGCTTGAGCAATCTCTCGCAGCTTCTTTATCTTCAGTTTTGGAATCTAGAAGCAAAACAATGATGGTTACTCCATACCATAACCCTTTCTGAAGGTTAGGCATAAACCTGCACAGTATTTTATCAATTGCAATCTATACAAAATACTACCTCTAGGTATGCCCTGTCTATGTGTTTGAGTAACAATTGATTATTCTACTCTTGAAAATGAGTCAACTACTATTAGAGAGAATGGAATTGCTATGGTTTTATCTCATCAATTATTACCTAAAAATTTTAACAGGTAATTAGGTTTAAATTTGACAGAAACTGTCAGGTTCATTACACTGAACAGTTCATATTCTTCAAGGCAATCCATTATCAAGTTTAGAGAAGAGTAGATATTACCTGAAAATTTAAAAAATTCCTTTCTCAGGCAAGACAACATTTCTTTCCACTACAAACACTTGAAACACTGAAATAAAACCATCATGATTTAGAGGTTGGCATGAGTCTAAAAGCACTTAGAATGTTATACAGGGTGGGCAAGAAATACCTGACACATTTCAAAATAATGTTATATGGGCATTATGACTGGAAGCAAAATTATTTGTATGGCATAGTAAACTACAATCTTAGGAGTCTTACAAATAATATCCATGTCTGGTTTTTGCCACGTTTAGGCCTTGAAAACAGCGGCATGTAAATGTCCACCACCTTCCTGTATGCACTGACACATGGATCACTGTGTTTCACATATTTTTTGCTGTACAAATAATTTTGCTTCCAATCATAATGCCCATATAACATTACTTTGAAATGTGTCAGGTATTTCTTGCCCACCCTCTAGATAGGCTTACAAATGTTAACTGGCCATCCTCATGTCTCAAGATTAATACCTTGACCTTCAGATATCCAACATGAAATAAGGAAGGCCACTCACTGGCTTCTGAATATGTGGTTCTTCAGAAGCTTGGCTTTCTCTGTATGCTCGAAATGGACCAAGCTTCCTAGATATAGATGCTGACTGTTCAGTCAATGTCTTTTTATGCTCTTCCCCAACTAAATGATCATCAAGACCATTTGATGACTCGAAGCACTTATTGCAGGTATTGCACTTGTATGCTGCAACCTTATGGGGCCATTTGCTAGGTTGCATATAGGTGGAATCCTGAAGTGAATCAGCTTTCAAGCTTGGTTCCTCCATAGTCTGGATGGTGGAGGATTCCTTTGAAGAGTATTTGCAAAGCTCTTGACTTGTGCCTTCAGTGGGTACATCATGATGTTTGTCCATTTCCATATTGGTATATTCAGAGGAATTATCACAACACTTTTCCTCATTATCTCCTTTCCCCATAGATGTCACAGGTTGTTTCACTGGCAGAGACATATTTTTCTTATTACAGCTTTGGTTGCTTCTATCTTCAAATAGTTTATCATGATGCAGGTTGTCATCATTCAAAACTGGAATCACATTGTCTTGCAATTGTGCAGGGTATGTGACTTGACACCTTGTATGCAACTTAATGTCTTCATACAGACGTCTGAGAACATCAATATCACACTTTCCTTCCAAAATACATCTAAAGAAACGCATCACAGATTGAAAATCAATCTGAGCATCTCTATCAGCAGCAACCTTTTTCACTCCTTTCTGAGTAGAAGTCACAGGTTGTGCTATTGATGAAAATTCAATGTGAGATGCTGTTTCAGCAGTAGGCTCATCTCCTACTGGAGAAGTCACAGATTGGTTCATTGCAGAAGATTCATCTAGAATATCTGTTTCAGAAGCAGGCTCCTCATCTCCTTTTCCAGAAAGAGTCACAAGTTGCTTCATTGGAGAAGATTCAAGCTGAGCATCTGTCTCAGCAGCAATCTCCTGATCTTTCCTAAGATTAGTTACAGGTTGTTGCACTGGTGAAGATCTATATTTCTTATTGGGATTTGAGCTGGGATGAAATTCAAAACTGTGCCACTGAGAAAGCTGATCCATCAGACGGTTAGCCAGGTGATTGACATCACGTGCTTGAGACTGTTTAAGTGAGTCTTCATCGATTGTCAGAGTCACAGGATCACCAGCTCTTATTGTGAGTCCATTGAATTTCTTGGTAGGAAGACTGGGTCTCTCCTCTTCAGGCAAGACCTCAGTCTCGAAGGTACCCCTGAATTTGACATATTTTGCCAACTGTTGAACCTCAGTAAGGACATTGCTTGAAGCTTCCAGGTGTCCTACATACAGGAGGCTCACAAAGTGCCGGACTATTTCTGAGTCCCACCCATCAAGAATCATATGATAAACAGGCAAAGGGGGCAGCTGGGAAAGGAGGTCTTCAAAGAGAGCACAATGAGTTGCCAGGATTATGGCATGACACCTGATAATGTCTCCATTCACTTCCAGGCGTACATCTGCCAGTTTCTGCAAATGCTGCAGCTCAATCAAAATTGGATTGAAGCATTGCCGCTCGAGATGATTCAGTTTTTCTGCACAATTCTTGAAGTGCTTGGGAAATGCTTTCTTTCCTTTGTTCCAATTCATGTCCCTTAATTTATGATCATAGTAGAGAGTCCTGTTTTCAATGAGTTAAAGAAGAAAATTGGAAGAGTCTGTGCTATGTGAAGGTTAAGTGTTTTTTCCTTAATCACACACAACCCAAAACTCTCCCTCAATAATTCAGGACACCTGAAAAAGAAAGCAGACAATTTGAGAGCACAAACTGAGTGCTCCATAATAGGTTACATCTAGCATTTATACCAAAACTCTGTTGGCATAAGCATTTAACAATAGGTGTTCTTAGACATTTTGACTTAGGTACACCAAGTAGGACTCTCCAAAATAGTCCAAAATAGAATCTAGAGCATCATGTCACAAAATATAGGCCTCCTAGTCAAAGCAAGCCATGTGAATGACATGAGGGTGGATAGCAGACCCTCCAAAGCAGAGGCAGAATAACAGTGGCATTTTTGACAACCATGCACACAAGGAACTAGAATCACTACTCCTCCTATTTTAAGCATCTCCACTAATCAGTTCATTTAAATATGCAAAGAATGAAATATATTTGGTGCCTCATGGTAGCATACCCCACATATACATGTTCTTCTCCTGCAAGCACATTAAGGCATCTGTTACTATTTGAAAAGACTAATGCTTATCTACAACATAGCATGGTGAGATGAATCCATATCACAATTTTCACTATGTTTACATCACATACAAACTGGACTCATGCATGTCCTCTCATTTCCCATGTCTTTCTTATATGAAGTTGGCATCCTTCATTCATATTATACAGGGTGTAACAAACGTCTGTATCATGGGTAATTGGAACTATTGACGATTATTTCATTAAATGTTGAAAGTGACTCTCAAGCTTCTCTCTGGCTTCTCCCAGCAATGTGTAACAAAACCAATTCCACCTTTTCCTGCAGTGTGTAGTCACCCATCATCTTTAATAATCACCTAGAAAAGTAAAATGAAAGAGTTCCAATTAGAATTTGAAAGAGCCAGTATATAATAAGGGAAAGTAAGATGAAAGTAAGACATAAGGATGATTAGGACAAGACTAGTAGCTAGTTTGTGACTACTCCAATTGCTCCTCCACATAAGCACAGAGTACACAAAACTAACATAGGAGCAATGTGCACAAAGATAGTGTAGAGGCTTGCGCAAAACATAGGGAAACCCAGTAGGACACCATGGTATGCTCTTCTTTTACAACAGCTGAAGCTAAAGCACAATACACCAAAATACCTTTAATGTCAAAATCACTGTCAGCTGACTTTTTCTTCTCAAGTCAATAAGGTCTGATCAAAAATGAGCAAGAAACTACAACTTTATGTGCATTTTGTTACTACTTATTTCTCATCCTGATTTACAGCACAGGGAATGCAAAAGACAGGGCATAGACACATCAAGCTGGTTTTGTCTTTTCTGACCAGCTCAGCAAATTTGTTCATTTAGGTGATTTAGGTATGAGACACTTTTGCAGCAGTACCAGTAAGCACTACTGAACAAAATTTCCCCTGATCGTGCTGAGAGGAAGGAGGTTGTCATTTTCAGCTTTCACTTCATTCAATAATCTGCAAAGGAAAAACTAACTAGTATTACTTATAACCACATCATCCTGGGACATTTCAAATTGCCTAAATCACCAGAAAGTTGTTCTTAAATACTAACATTGTAAAAAGAATCTTTCATCAAAGGCAAGGAAGCATACCAAGTTCTGAAGTGATTTAATGAGGGATTTGCTGAAAGTGCACATTCCTTATTGAGTCATCCAATTTTCAAAAAGATTTATTAAATCCCAATGGATTAAGTCATCAGCATCTCATTAGAAGTAGACAAAGGAAAGGTGAAAGAGAAGGCAATCTACATACGACATGGACTTCAGAAACTCCAGGCATTCCATCATCACTTATGAGCCATTCTCAGGAAAAGAACTCTCTCTTGTGTTTTCTGTGACATAGTGATCTTGAGTGAAGCCATCAATATGGCTTACTTCCTGTAGGATCTGCGCTGTACCATCCCTGGAACTAGGAGAGGCATCAGTGGCATTGACTTCAGCAACATCCTGGTTAAGTGCACCCTCAGTACTTGGGTTAGCACCACCTGTTGCAAAAAGAGACCTTGAGAATCCCTAGCATTTTCAAAATCTGCTCAAAAGAAAATCAAAAAGGTCAGCTTACTCTCAACTGGGGATAATCCCATATTAAATGGAATCCATTCATGGTCCTCCTCAATTCCTACCTGCCTGAAGTGATTCCTGAGCCTCCCTGTCCTGCCACTTCCTAATACAGCTCAAGTAACAGGTCTCCTAAAACGAATGGAAGTTGGCCTGGCTTCAGAAGCAGAGTTCTGATGTGAGATGAAGAAAGCAGGTGGAAGTAGCTTGCTGCTTGTAGTTGTGACAACTGCTGTATTTGCAGGATGTATAATCCCTGTGCCAGTATCACTGAATCTCATGATTGTTTGCAATTGGGGCCTGATGGTGTCTTGTGCCTGGGATTCATCTAATTTCAAAGAATGGTGCATGAAAGGAATGCCTCAAGCATGATGCCCAGGAATTCCTGAATCTATTTCTGTTGATAAATGACCTCCAGTGACATTTGCACTGTATAAGGCATTCTATCTCCAGTTATGGTAGAGCATGACAATGGGATGGAGCTTACAACATTAGCTGTGCTACTCACACCCCTGTGAATGGCAGAGCAGCTGAGAGTGCCTTGAGCTCTTTGTGCAGCAAAATACAGATCTTGACTGCCACGTGATATAGGCCTTCCCATTTTTCCATTCCACTCCTTGCTCACCATTTTGAGAAGAGTCTGTTGAGGAGAGAGGGTATGGGAGAGAAGTGTGCCAATGGGCCTCTGAAGTTCTTCAAGTCACTTTAAAACCAGTTGGCATAGGTTTTCAGCTGCCTGCTTCTTCCCCAGCATTTCACGGAGAAAGTTGCACAACTCGTTCTCATCTGCAGACATGCAGACTTTATCCCATTCCTTATAAGCCTCAGGATCATAGCAGTTGATAATATCTTCTAGTTCTAGCAGCTCCTTCTTCTTGACCTCTTTCAGCAGGGTCTGTATAGATTTGAAGTCTTTCCTGAGGATTTGACGATGCAGATGCATTTGCTGAATGCTCAATGCAACTGCTCTTAACTCTTTATGAACTTGCAGCAATTCTTCTATGTCTCTGCTTTTCTGCATATCCATTTCTTCCAAGTAAGCAGCAGATTGGATAACAATTTGATGCATGTCAGTGAGATACTGGAGGAGGAAATCTGCTGTCTTGATATAGTCAAGCATTTCTTGAGAAGACCGTATAGCTTTCATATTGAAGGCCTTATCTTCAATTGCCATTGCAAGAGCAAGAGGTAGGAGTTGTTCATCTTCTCCAACCTCATCTGTCCATTCTTTATCCAATTTCTTCCTCTTCCTCATCATGAGCAGCCTCACAAACTTTTTGAGTCTCCTACTTTTCTGCAGAATCTTTTCTTTCATTCATACCCAGCACCTCTGATATCACGAGATGAGTTTTGAATGGCTATCCCATGTTTAGGCCTCATTGATATGCATGTGCTCCTCCTCATGTTTGATTTTTTTTTACTGAATTTACTTTGTCTGATATGAACATCATCAGGTTCCTTCCCCTTTTTACTGATTATTGCTTCAATCTCTGCATTTGGAGAGTCTACAACACTCAGTACTTGAATTGAAAGATCTGGATGAGACATTAAAATTACCTGTAGATGATACCTGCAATTTACTGAAGTACTTGGCCTAAAACATCACATTATGTCACATCCTGAAAAGCATTAGCTCAACTGAAACTTCATAAATGAGAGGCCTAGGCCTACATAATATTGGTCTTGTATTGGCAGAATTACCTCAGTTCAACACCCCTCACTAGGTGTGTCTACTGTTGATGGTTTCTTTCTTCTCTTTTAGCTTACTGATGAGGGTTACAAAACCTCTAATCTTACACAGATGTAACCATCTATCCTAGTCGTCAAGTCTTGAATGTTTTCTACCTTTCTGCGGCACAGTGGAGATAATACCTCATCCTCATTTTTATGAGTGGGACTTGGCTGCTTCAGACACTGTTGCATTGGCCCAACTCACTAACTAAATATGTAATGGTATTGGAATAACTTTATAAAACTTTTTCATCAAACTCAAACCATTCTCAGTCATTGATATTGAGTTCATCACTTTTACTATCTTTCAATGTCTCTCCATTGATGACATCAAACAAAACATCAAATCACTAAGAAATAGACTCTCCAGTTGATTCCAATTTTGATAGTCAAAAGTAAAATTTATAAAACTCATATTAGTTCAAAAGTCATACTTTGAGTGAAAAACCAAATTTCATGTTCTTACTTCACCAAACTTCACCCTTCAAGTTATCAAGTTTTCCTTCTCCACATTCTACCTTATGTGCTCCAGGAAAATAGTGGGCAACAAACTTCTTCCACAGATATTGTGACAAAGCAAATGTTGCATTTCACTTTGCTATGATGCAATAATGCATTTTGGTGAAGCAATGAACTCCTAGTCTATTCTTCCTGATCCTGATTTTCAATACCACTGAGCTTCACATTCCTATAATTAAGAGAATTCACCAGGAAATATCCTTTATTTGAATGGATAATTTTATAGCTATGACAGGGAAATTGATCCCAAGTATCCCAAAAAATTCAATATGTCAAAATTGCTATATATTACTGATGAAAATTTAACCAGAAAGATATTTTACTATGATCTATTCCAGTGTGCCTCCTGGGATCTACAGAAAACGGGCAAAGTCAAATGAATACTGTACACGTTATGCCTAACGTTACATGAATTCATCAGAAGGAAAAACCACTAAGTACACTAAAATGCAGACTAGCACTAGGCCTACCTATACAACTTCCTGTCGTTTCTACTACAGCTATCTACTATTCAATTTACTCCCAATTAGAGATCCAACATAAAGGGAGCGTAACTGTAGCTTATCTGCAGTTTTAAGAACTATCATAAATTGACGATATGCTA